TATACCCCAACTGGGCAAAAATTAGAAAATCATAAAACACAGAAAACCCGACCGGATCATGACAAAATCCGACCGGGTTTTACATATTTTTGGCCCTGGAACCTTCTGTTTTACAAACCCATTCGGGTATTTACAAAACCCGGCCGGGTATTCGTGCGAAAAACGAATTTTAACGGGATTTCAAGTCCCAAATCGACCCATCTCCTTCCCCATTCATGCACTAACCCTTCCCAACCTCCATTGACATGCATCCAAGCTTCGAACCACTCCAATCTCAACCAAAACATTCAAATTAACCCCACATTCTTCTTATTCACATCATCCTCTCCAACCCCAAACTAATTTCATCCCAAAACCTCCAAAACAAAATGTCATTTCGTTTTCTCCTCACCATACTTTCCAAATCCACACACACAAAACCCACCAAATCCCCCAAATACCCTAAAAACCAAATTCCCTAACTCCCCAAGCTCTAGTTCGAAATTCACTCAAAAAAAATGAAAAAAAGCACCAAAGAGAACGCATATTTTCGACCACCAAGGGTACTTCTCCAACATGCCCACTCTAGTACAACACCCAATGTGGTATTACCCCTCATATTAGGACAATTGGGAGGTTCTAGCTCCGGTGAACATGATCTTGGTGGCGATGGCGGTTATGGAGGGTACAATAGCGATCATGGTGCCGAACACTAGGGACAGTGTTTCGAGAAAAAGTGTGGGGAGGCACTCATTTGGTATGTACTCATTCTTTAACCTTGTAACTTGCATTATTTTTCTTCAAAAAAAATATTAAAAAAGGAAAAAAAATAATAAAAGAAAAAATGCTAGTTAGGTTGAAACCCCAAAATTGGGCAATCTAAGCAAAAGTGGCTAAAATGAGTGAGTTAGGAGCAAAAAAGGAAAATAAAGAGAGACTATGATGAAAACCTGAAAAGGCTCCTAGGCAGAATGAGAGAATGAGAGAAATTTTTATTCAAGTTTATACAGAAACTCATTTCACTTGTTCTTGAAAATCATGAAGACCCTCTTTCTGTGAAATTTGAGGATGGATGAAAAAAATGAACATTTAATTCCTTTGAATTTATCTGTTTTGTGGATTGTGGACTATTATGTCGATATTTAACTCGAGGACGAGTAATGGACTAAGTAGTGGGAAGTTTGATAGTATAGAATTGTTATGGTTTATATTTGTAATTTTAACTAGTTTTGTTTATTGTTGTTTGAGAAATTACACACTTTTGGTGTAATACTTTATTTTTCCTAGTTTATTGTAATGTACTCCGTATTAGTTTAAGAAGATCTTAAGCTTCAATAAATTAGTCTACAACAAGGAGCATGGAAGATATCTTACAAGATCAAAGGAAGGTGCAGGGGAGCAAGAAATCCTGCAAAAATGTGATTTGGTGACTTACCCGGTCGGGTATAATATTTACCCCGTCGAGTTGTTAATAACTACCCTCGATGAATCTGATATACTCCTCGATTGAGTATTCGAGAGGGGATATGTTATAGATATAAAAATGATCAACTAAAATATATCAACAAGTGGAAAGTAGCAAGACCAAGTTATTTTTATTCTTGATTTAAGTCACATATAAGTCGTTCATCTTCGTGTTTAATTAACTTAAATCACTCAATCCTAAAAACCCCCTTTTTATTTACTAGTTTTATTAAAAAGAGAATTATTCCTTTCCCTATAGATTCGAACTCTACTTTGCTATACTACGTATAAGTGCTAGTATTGAATTTATTTTGACGCACCGTGACGAAGTGCTCGTCATTACCCCTGTACTAAAGCACAAAGAGGTTGTTTCCAAATGACCCATAATGAACATCGCATCCAAAATTGCATGGACTAACCGCAACTCTATAACAAAGAAGTGCAGACAGTTTACTGAACCTTTTGCACTATTCTATCATATTCTCAAGCCAAAAAATCTTAAGTCTTTTGGCTCCATTGTAAAGGATAGAAATATAAAAAATTTCACCATATTTTTGCATTTATTTAAATTGATTTGAATATTTAGAGCATTTTAACCTTGTTTTTCATCAAAATAAGTAAGGTTGGAGTTACTTTTCTGGCTAGATTGACTGCAGTTGTTGTAGAAGGTCATTTTAGCTATTTTTCATACTCCCTCTGCCAACATGTCTTTGCCATCTTTCTTTTTTTATTTGTCCCAAAAAACTTTGTCCCAACAAAATCAACAAAATCAACCGCCCGAATAGGCGGGCTTGTACATATAAATTTACCCACCGGGCGGCCCGCAATAACATATGGGCGGGCTTGGGTTAGGGTGTAGGCCCGTTTGGGCCGATAAAGGCGGCCCGCTACATTTAGTATATATACATATATTTTTATATATATACTAATTTATTTATTTATATGTACAGATGTATTTTATACTAATTTATACATATTTAGAGTTTATTATGTTTAAATTTACGCTTTTAGTTCTTAACAAGTAGCCCAATCAATATAATATCTATATTTGTACTTGAAGACAATACTTTGTGCTTGAATCTTAAATTTTAGAAATAGTTTCTCATTATTACTTTTGTGCAAGTACTTTTTGTGTATGTGGTGAAAGACTTATAAACATTATAAACGTATTAGCAATTTTTTATATGTTGTAATATTATTTACGTAGTATAAAGTATGAAAAACATTATATAATTTTGAAATATTTAAAGTTTTCTTGGGCCGAGCGGCCCGGTTGATTACTCGACCCCCGGGCTGATATGGACATTGAGTTAGACCCGTTTTTGTTGGCCGGGCTGGAACCGCCCACACGTCATGGACAGAAAAATTGTAAAGCCCAACCTGGCACAAACCTGGTTTTGTGCAAGTCTACTTTTTATGACATAGGGTCTGTTTGCAACACCTTTCTGCTTAAAAAAGTGCGTTTTTTAATGAAATGAGGAGAAGTGATTAAATAAAACTTGATAGTATTTGAGAAAAAAAAGTGATTTTGAAAAGTAAAAGTTGGTAGTGTTTGGTAAAATAAGTGTTTTTTGTGTAATAGAAAAAATAAAAACACTTTTGACACGAAAGCCGAAAAAAATAAAAGTTGTTAGTATTTAGTAAATTAAGTACTTTTTAAGTCAGAAGCTAAGAGGTACTCCCTCCGTTCCACTATGATTGTCCCATTTTACCTTTTCGGGAAGTCCCACTAAGATTGTCTCATACCAAATTTGGCAAAGTTTGTGTGGCTCTAAATCATTCATACTTCATTTTTAATTTATAAATTTTATAGCAACTACACAAACTCACTTTTCTTAATAATCGTGTCACCTTCTCTTATCTCAATCTTAGTGGGACGGAGGTAGTATTTTTTTTAGGACACAAGGGGGGCATGCTTTTGAGGTTTTCACAACACCGGCCATCCCAAAGACCACAGACTTCAACAAGGTCCTGACATTTTCGCTTTGTCAAAATTGGCTAATCGCATCCAAAAACCCGTAGTACTACTTGCCAAAACTCGTGTCTTTCAGAAGTAGTCTTTCTAAACGTGGGTTTTCGGAAAGTTGATGTTCAATCATTAAGGCGAATCCAAAAACTTGTTTTGACATCAGGCAAATACCGTAGTATGGGTATAAAACTAAGGGTTTAATGCACCAAACCCCCATCTGATTTGGAAATTCGGCGCTTAGTCCCCTGTGTTTTAAAAAATGCGTCAAACCCTTCTGTGTTTTAATTAATCATGCACAGAACCCCCTTTATGAATAAATTTAACAATTTGAAAATCATTTTTCCTAATATTTTGATTGAATGTGCAAATAAATATATCAAAATCTCTGAATCATACAAAAATGTTAATCATTTTTCTTTTATTTGACAATTGAATTTGTTCACATAAGGGATTTGACGCGTGATTAATTAAAACACAGGGGGGTTTGACGCATTTTTTAAATCACAGGGGGCTAGGCGCCGAATTTCCAAATCACAGGGGGGTTTGGTGCATTATGACAAAATCTAATAAACAATCTTTTATTCATGCTTTATTTACATGAGAGTTAGATGTTTTTATTTGGATGCTAATCTGTTTCAGACCGAACAGGCCAGATCATACCAGACCAGATTTGGGTAGTTATAAAAATACAAAGAAAACAGACCAGATCAGCAAATTACAGTCCAAGTAAAAACATCCTTAATGAATCCAAAATTAATGAAGTGTTATAAATTGTAGTGTTTCAGTTCAATCTTTAATTTACTGCAATATATCCTGCAAACAGTGGCGGGGCCAGAAAAACGACTCGGGGGCTCAAAATTCAACCTATATACAAAGAATGAAAATGGTGGATCATTTTTAAACAATGTCCGAGTTGATTTTCATATGCAGTTTAGATAAATAGATACTTGTACCAATAAGATATATTGTCTTTGCTCAGTTTTTGAGTAGTGTCATGTGAGTATTGAGTTAACTATAACCTATTTTTACAATTAAGGTAAATAATTTATAGTATGTATCCAATTTTGTTGATTTTACGTTTAAATAGTGCTGATTTTTCGAATTCATAAATTTGTACTCGTAATGAGTTACGGGGGGCATAATATATTAAATCGAATATATTTCAGATCTCTTTACTCTAAAATTTTTAGTGGGGTTAGATGATCATCCTGACCCCCCGGCTCCGCTCCTGCATGCAAACCTATGTCTATTTAACCCTCCCATTAATCAATTTTATCTTAATTATGTTAAAACATTTATTTTTGTGGCAATTTGGCTTTTTTAATGATTATTTCAGGGGTTTTGTCAAACTAGTCTAATTAATTTAGCTAGCATTTTGGATTTTTGGTTTCAACAATTTCTGTCTAGCTCCGAATAGTAGTCTTTTAATCAAACAACAGATCTCACTTTCCGTTTGTTTGTTCAAACATAGGCTAAATATATATCACACTGGTTATCTCAGAATGCAAAAATTTGAATAACCAAACTCGATCTGATCTACCCCGTATTTAGTTAATACTCCAATCAAAATATATAACGAATGTAGCAAATTAAACATCTTATATTATGTAGCAAAATAGTAAGAGCCCATAACAATTTAATTTGAACTTTGGCCAAAATAATATTTGGTCTGTCCATAAAAACTTGAGGAGAGCTACAAAATAGATAGTACTACGTATATGATATGATGATGGGGCTTATTATCCAGCCTATTTAGGATGAAAATTAACCCCGTCAACTATATATATCTACATAAAACAATTAAGCATATACGAAGTAACAAATAAATAAATCCAATTAAAATTGGTTCACGATTGAACACTACAACGGATATGAAGAAAGAAGACCGGGGGGAATGCAAGGTGAAGCCTTCCAGACCCTAGAGTGCAACCTAAGGATCTGCCTGGCTCTCTCCTTTGTCTTACTACTTGCCTCAACTTGCATCACCAAACACAGTTTGGAAACCACCCCAACCTGCAACATTTCCTGAACAACCCTACAAGTAGCCGAAAACTTGGAGACCGATAAGAGAATCCTAACTGCCCTGTCACTCGCAACATGCGAAACCCTAAAGATTTTCTTGGACACAATGGCGAGCCCCGCTCCGTGGCTCAGCAGCTCGGCCCGGCCCTCGGCGCAGTTGCAAAGCTGGTCGAGGACCGTCATAGCGAGCTCGCAAACCCTTCTCTCGGACGTTTCAAGAAGAACGTCCTCGACAAGGGTTTGCACAGCTCCCGCCTCGACCGCTTTGATTCGGTTCCTTCCGAACGAGCAAAGCTCAAGGAGGAGTTTCAACGCGGATTTGGTTGCGTTTTGAGAGATTCTATCCCTTATGACTTTAACAGCCTCGATGAAGCAGTCCGGCTTAGCTGCAATTAGCTGAGCCGGGTCCGCTATCTCGAAAGCCGACGCTAACATCTTCATAGCCATGGCTCGAGATTGGTGATGAATCCCGCATTTCAAGACATGCACTAAAGAATCAATGAGATGGAGATGCCCCTCTTCGTTGATGAATCCTTTGAGAACCAAATCGGACGGACCAAGATTGAAAAGAATGGTCAACGCTTCGTCAACCACCCCCACGTCCTCCTTCTTTAAAACGGAAGCAAGAAAGTCAACTGCTCCGGGCGTTGACCAAATCTCTCTCTTGTTGTGCTCGCCGGCGCCGGCGATGGATCTCAGTCTTTTGAGGCACTTGAGCTGATGGGAGCCGGCGGGCAGCCTCCGGGCATCTCCGATGAGCTTCGAGATATAAGCTTTGTTCACCGGCGGCTTGGGGGTGGGGATCCGGTCAATGCCGTGGGATGCATTGACCATGCACCATGCTTGGATGAGACGGCGGAGGTTGTGGTTGGGGGTGAGATCAGTGGTGGCGAGTGGGAGTTTTGTGACGGGGCAAGAGTTGTTTTTGCATGAAAACAGCCACTTTTCGATGCATTCCCGGTCGTAGGTTATTCCGGTGACGGTGGTTACCGGATCTTTCATGAGTTGCATGGAAATCGGACAAACGAAGTACGACGGAATCTCTATATCTTCCATTTCTAGTTGAAATAATGCTTGCTTTTGATCAAGAATGGTCGTAGCGGCGTATACCAATTCAATTGTATGAGCTAATATATAGGATAGTACGAAGTATTAAATTTGGTCAGAAATGAAAGCTGTTGGCAGGCAATGCTTCAAACATGGGTAGGTCTATATATATATATATATAAACAAATTGTACATCAGTAGAAATATATGCTAGAAAATAAATACTTCATTATGCAAGCTACGTTTTTCTTATTGATAATACAATCAGAAATTGTAGCTATAATTCGTAAATATTATCAAGTAAAAGGATCTAGATCATTCATGTTGTACGCATGAGTTGTACACATTTGTGTACATACTTTATTGCATTTGTACACAAGCAGTTTCTCGCCGAATTATAAATTATGTATACAAACAACTTTTTCCATATTAAAATTATTTTTTGTGTAAACTACGCGCTTAGTCTAAAAATTAGTCCGTACTTTTTACGTTTTTAATCCTATTTTTTAGTATAGTCATTTGTAATGTTCATTTGTTGTAAAATTAAAAAGCTTATACTCCTTAGTCCTTACTTAACATAAGCTGTTTTTACTCACTTGGAATCTTGGACTGGTTTCAAAATCAGACCAGACATGTTCACACCAATTAATATACTTATTTAAATAGACCAGAACAAACAGAAATTTTCACTCAAAATAAAACATTCTTAATGTTGTAGGTGCATTTGATTTATAATATGAAACTTATATTTACTATATTTTGGTTCCATAAATATTATGTATCTGTATCATAGTAAACAAAATAAGTATATCCGATCCTTGTAGATGAAAATAATCATTTTTTCGGGTTAAAAAACGCAAAATACTATCAAATGTGGATCACAATATCACATTATCACATATCAATAATTTTCTTCTTTTGGATATAAATAATTTTTAATGTGCATTGTTGAAATTTTTGTATACGGCGTATTTGTCATTTGTGTAAACGCTCTAATATATTTGTAGTAGTATCTTTGCTACAACTTTAATTGAAATGTGGTATAATTTGGACCTATAATGCCGCTATATATCAATTAACAATTTTTTTTATGTGAATTACTTATTACTCGTATGTTTGAACTTCTTTTTAGACGGGTCATTATTTGGTATCACGATCAATTGCTTCACTCATTAATTACACTAAAAGAAAATTTGGGCGTTGGACTTGTTCTAAGGCATTGGAAGTTGGGACTCCAAATTAAAAAATCATTGATGAAAAGAATAGGAAAGCCATGAGAATAAAATAAATTAATCTCACGGATAAATAAAGACTCCGTATGAGAAGAAATGGTCGAATTGAAGCCAGCAAAGATCGATGGGAGAAAAGAAATGCGACGTCGGCGTTGCTCATGTTAACAGCTAACATATCCGCTTTGACTTTGGCACGTTGCATATAGATCCTCAGAGTATTTTACGTGTTCCAAACCGTACATATTTAATTATCAAATTAATTTTTTTTTTTGGAATTTTTAAAGAGAGAATGAGTGAATGACTCCAATAAAATTTAAACAGGATGGAAGTGTAAAAATAGAATTGCGATTTTCAAAAAGTGTTTGGTAAACGGCGTTTCAGTTGAAAAATGACGGTTTGATCACTTTTAGCGTATTCAACCTTCAGACTATCAGACCTTCAGCTTACTAGCCAGCGGGGTGTCCGGCAAAGCGACCACTCGACTAGTGCTTCAGAGTTCAATTGACGTTTAAACAGGTCTATCGACGATCATGATCTGCAGGGGCACCGGCTTTGGACCTTCACTCAAGACAAGTGGAGCACCAGGCCAACCGGTCAACCAAGCTTGCTTAGGCCCTGCTTTAGGCGTTCAATGATTATTTTTACCAAATGGCTAATAAAAGAGACAGAGGTAGTATATAGTACTATAATATTTATCGCCCAGATACAAAGTATGCATTTAAAATTAATTATAGTGTATGTCTAAAATAATTGCAAAGATAATATACTTATGTATGCTTTTGTTTTTATTATCTTGATAAAGCTTATTCAAGTATGAATATTATTAAATTGGTACTGATTATTTTTATTGTACACATCATTTACTATTTTAGTTGATTATGTGTTTACAAGGGATAACTTGTATTATGCTTAAGAGAGTTTACATGACTTTTGTAGTAAAGAATGCTTGGATGTCTTTGGATGGTTGGAGCAAATGAGAATCCTCTCTATTTATTCTAGATCTTTAGTATGTACAAAAGTGTTCTAGAGAGTTCTATTCTACTCTATAACTATGTACCATTCTTCCATAATGTTTTAGGTTGATAACCTAGACATTATGCACTTTTCTAGGGGATCTAGGATGTTCCTGATTATAACAAGTACTTCTGCGTTTCTCTGGGAGCGACATTCTAGAAGTTTCCAAAAACATTTATGTGACTACCCACCCAAGTTTTTGAAGTCCTTGTCAAATTTGACTTGAACCCTTCAATCATGTCTCAGAACTGTCAAAAGGCCTTATTCAGACTCACAAGTATACTCACTTTCAAGTTGGTTTTTCCATCACACGAAGTAGTCGGTCTACTTAGGCAGTCCCCATTGGCGAATAACTCAGTCAACTAATATCTCATCGACTTCCTTGACGAAAGAGACCATGTTCGGCATTGGAACTCGATGAGATTTATTCCGGGACAGGTCCTCTTCATATCTATTGTAATATATAAAAAGACTCATCTAGAAAATCGAGTGTATCTTTAGGTGTGATGGTAAAGCTAATTTGTACGATCTTATGCCCATCTTCTCACTTACTTGGTATAGTCCTTCATATCTTCGTGTCAAATCTTAGTGCACTTGACGCGTAGACTTGATCATTTTCTAGGGTTAGCTTTACCCTCACCTCATCCCCGACAATGAATTCATCAGCTTTCTCACAATGTCAGACCATTTCTTCATTTGTTTTGTTGCTTTGGTCAAGTAGCTCCAGGCAATGTCTATCCTCATTTTTTCACCCTTTAGCAATTTTGTAGGATCATGGGCTTGAACCTTTGTGTTTTGGTAGTTCTTGAGGTGTCATCAGTTGTTCTCCGGTGAAGGTTATAAGAGAATTGGGCTACATCTATGCATCATTCTCATGGTTGACAAGTGTCTCACCTTCTCTGTTTGACCATCAATTTGAGAATGAAAGTTTGTAGAGAAGTAAAGATTTGTAGAGAAGTAGAGATCTGAACCCATTAACTTGAATAGTTACATCCAAAGCTTACTAGTGTAGCGCGATTACTTATGATGGGCCAATGTCTCCAACACTTTGCCACATGTTTAAAGAATAGCTTACTCGCTTCCTCAGCTATGCGATATGCGATTCCACACTGTAGACGTATTTGTTTCATACTTGGAGAATCAACCGACCAAAAAAATTATGAAGCCCTATATGACTCCACCATGAAATTATATAGCTCATGTGTTCTCATATCAACCTTTCATTTTTATAGTGGATTTATAATGGAGGAACTCATTTAATAAATGAATGATTGTGATGATGAGACATGTGCTACATGACTCCAAAGTAGAACCACATTCGACTCCATAAAATTTCCCATCAATCGACAACCACCGTTATAAAATCGCATCCCCCATATGTGTTCATTAACTATTTTTTATTTGATCTATTTAAATTAATTTGAACTCATTCAGGATTTTTACTTGGACTGTTTTCCATAGTTATAAAATACATAGAGACCGAATATTTACCAGATCAGTTTAGATTAAAACAGACCAAACCAGTTTAAACTAGATCAAACCAGATTTAAACAGAATATTTCAGATGAGACTAGACCTAAACAGATCAGACCAGATCAACAAATTTCAATCCAAGTAAAAACGTCTTCGGTCGCTTTGGTATGATTTGAGAGTGAAGTCAGGATGTTTTTACTTGGACTGTAATTTGCTGGTCTGATCTAATTTGGTCTGGTCTGAACTGCTCTGGTCTGATAATGTCTGGTCTCTTAGTATTTTATAATTATCCAAGTCTGGTCTGATCAGATTTATTCTGTTCTGGGTAGATTAGGAAAAACATCCCCACTCCTAATGAACACTTCCTAAAGCAAATGGAACTTGGATTGACAATTAAGGCCCACTCCAAAACCTGTCAACTAGTTTGAAATGTTGGGCCGGTAATTGAGATTTAAGAACAAATACGTGATAGAGTTACTAAGTGCTGAAAGCTTCTAAACGACGTAGCCATCTCTTCCTCCATGCGTCTGTTAAGCTTAATTATCATCGAGCAGAAAATATCAAATTCAAATTCTCAAATACATATACTACGTACAACGTATATCTGAACTACACTGGACCATCTAGCAAGCTTTATCGCGGATTCTTGGCATCTCAGCTGAGGATAAAATGCGAATTGGGTTCACTCGAGCTTTGGTATCCTCCCTCGCTAGATCATAGATAGAATGATTGATCAGTTGATCTACTCAACCGACATACAAGAAGGTTCTTTCCACCTTTCTCTCCATACTTCGACTCTTTGAAGTTTTTACCTTTTTCCCTGCTATAGATCTGCATTTATGTCACTGAAATGAGGTCTCTAATCTTGTGCTCGAATTAGGTATTTGGTTTACTTTCCGTTCAGAAGGCAGCTAGGAAACTGTTGAGTTGAATGTGTTGCTTGATGAATTCTTGAACTTGAAATTACTACCCTTTAAAATCAAAGTCAGAAGCTTTGCCACATTAGGCAAAGTTAGAAACTTTACGTTATTTAGTTAGGTCTAGTTAGGTGAGGCTGAGAGATGTACAGTTATCCATGCGTTTGATTATTTGCATTGCGCTACCTACTATTAGGATTTGTTCTATGACCACAGGTTGTATTTCTTATGGATATAATTTGAGAAGAACCGCAGAGGCAGAAGTTTTGGGCAGAAATGAGGGGTGAGTGTGGGAAAGGGGCCATTATTTGACGGAGATATTTTATCCAAATTCGTCATACATCTGGAATTCATACCTAGAATAGTAATGCAGATTCCACTACTTCTTTCCTCAATCTTATCTTCCCTTTTCAACTGCATAATCTCAGGAGAATGCAACAAGCTTTGATGGTGTACATCGGTAAATGGAACGATGAGCTTCCCTGGGTATGAAGTGGCTATTAAGGTCGAAGAAGAACGTTTTATGTGTTTTCTTTAGTTCTTACACAAAACGTGTACATGATTAGGCAGTTGTTGTACTTGAGGCATTAAAATAGCAATGATATTTTTTATGACCAATTGACAATGGAAGGCATGATGGAAATGTTTGATCCAGATGATTAGTTATTGCTCAAATAGTATCTATGCTTCTAAAACATCATCATACCCAATGATTACCTGGAGTCGTGGACAGGCCTTTGGCATTTTACTGGCCAACTTCAGGATAACTATCTACAAGCATTCTTATGCAGCCACTTAGTTAGGTGATTGTAGTGCTATTCTCACAATAAAGGAGGAGAGAATTAGTTGAATCAGCTCTTTAGTAAAACTGTGAAGTGTCTAGTGTTTCCAATTTTTTGCCTTATGGTGCAACATGCAAGAGCTTTTTATTCAGTAGATATGGACATTGTGAATTTAATAATCAAATGATGATCTCTCATTCCCGATTGCTCATTTGCTACACGCGCTTTCCATGATATCTCTTTCGAAGTTCAGCTGACTGCTATCATCCATTCTGTAGTCAACTGTTGTTGTGGATTTTTCCTGCCTCATATACCCCAACTGTAGTTGATTTCAAAATCAGGCCAAAGGTAGAAGTACACCTACAGTAGGAGGTCTAAAGCTAGAATTCTTTTTTACTTGATCTTCTACCACGATTATAGTTTTCACTATTGTCTAAATGGGATAAACCTTTGGGTTGGCAGTTTAACTGGTCAATGTGTTACTTGTTCTCTTATGGTTTTGTCAAACAATTTTGATGCCTGTGTCAACTTCATTTAGTAAAAACTACATGTGTTGTTTAACTTGTTTTCAAAAAACAATATCTACACTTAACATTATTACATAATTACTACCTCCGTCCTGGCTTAAGCTTTTCGTTGAAAAAGGACACAATTATTTAGACAATAATTATATAAAGTAATTTGATTATATTTTGAGAAGTAGTTTTGATGAATATTCAACATAGTGAGGTTATTGACGATAAATATCCTGTTATAGGTATATTATTTTTAATATTTGATGATTAATTTATCACTTAAGAGTTCTAATTATTTCCTAAAATAGAAATGAGAAGCTTTAGCTAGGACGTCTAAAAGATGCAAGTGAGAAGTTTGTGTTGGGATGGAGGGAGTACATGATTTTCAAATCCACAAATATGTGATATTTGTTTCAATTCATTTGAAGCAAAAGTTCATATATTTGCTGGTTTGCTATTTACTGGAATTTCAATTCTTGAAGCTGAAGCATGACCTTGACCTATATTGAGAAAAGTATGTCAAGCATTGTTGTGCCCTTCTAAAAGGGAGATGTCCTGAAGAAAATGGAATAGACAATGCTAGCCTCTTATATTTTGTTCTTTTGGTATGTAAAACTTTCCTTCCTTTATCTTGATTACATTGGATTCTAGAGATGTTTAAAATGAAAATGGCTCTCTATTAAAAATCTTTTGAAGCATTTGCGTTTTTTCAGTGTCATAATTGTTTGTGGAATGCCACGTCTTTTCATGCGTTGTCTCCTTTGAGGGGAAACATTTATTCATTTTCATTTTTTGATGATTAGGGGAGTGCATCTATCTTATTCAGGCAGTTGTAATTAACCAGTGTCCATTGCTTACAACGTGGATGATTATCTTTTTTGTGTTTTCTGTACTTTCTTCTGAAATGCTGACCCCCAACTCTTTAGGGACTAAGGCTTGGTTGTTGTTGTTGCTGTTGTTGTACTTTCCTCTCTAAAAGTTTATATCAATTAGCAACTCAGGAAATTACTAAATGTGTTAACGTTTCCTGCTCTAGGTTTGATACTTTGAGGCTGATAGTCCTGAAGCAACTTTGTCATGGGGGTTTCTGGAAAGTGGTTTAGGTCACTGATTGGTTTGAAAAGACCTGAAAAATCATATGCCAGTGGACATGATGAAAATGTAAGCAGCATCTTCTTGTTAATATCCTTTTCTCCCTTCCAAAGAAGGGCAGACATCGTTATATGCATGTTAAAGATATTAATTGGATGATATTAAAAAGAAATAACAAGTAATCTACTTCAATCAAATCTCTCAGATAGGAACTTCCAATACCCTATCAGAGAAATTTTATTGAAGTAGATTACTTGTTATTTCTTTTTAATATCATCCAATTAATATCTCTAACATGCATATAACAATGTCTGCCCTTCTTTGATATGAAGCAGCAGTCAGTCCATGCAATTTTGACGCGATTTTCACTATGGGTCATCCGGAAAGAGTCTCTCTGTGCTTCAGTACAAGGGTAAGACTATGGACATCCGACCCCCCCTTACCCCAACCGAAAGTGTGGGAGCCTTTGCGGCACCGGGGTAATGATGATGATGGCATATAACAATGTCGTATTATATGCATCAATTTTTGAATGCCATTAATTAGTATTTAATGCTTCGTACTTGTTTTAATCGTTTTCCTATCTAGTTAATTACTCCTGTAAATGAACCTATTAGCAAGGGTGAACAATTTATTCCAAACTGCAGAAAACTGGAAGCACGAAAAAGTCTACACACAGGAGAAAGCATTCTGTTGAAATTGATAGGGACCCACTTCAGAATGAGTTCGGTCATAATGATGATGTCAGCATTTCAGTTCGCGTTGGTGTTGGTTCACCTTCTTACTCACATCAAGTGCAGGGTCCAGCTCAAAGTCAACCAAGTATGAGAAAAGAATGGGCAGCAATTCGTATTCAAACTGCTTTTAGAGGATTTTTGGTACTGAATTTTCTTTCAAGTCAGTTGCCATATATATCATTCTCCATTTAAATAGATTGTTCTTGCAGGTTTTGCCGCCTAGATTCTGCCTCATTTTTCCAGAGTGTTGCTACCCATTTAGACTTTGAGTCTTAAAGCAATCACTACATGCTTATTTTCCTATCTTTAATTATACTCATGTCCCTAAATAATCTTCACAACTTTCCTTTTTCGTCCAATCTAAAACCCTTCCTCTTGAGGAAAGCAATATGTGGTTCACATTATTTCTCTCACTTCTAATAAGTCTACGACCAATCAAATTAGGTGTTAATTTGGGCACCGGAGGGAGTACATTTTTTATGGATCAATTCTTAATGTAAATATACAACATAGTTAGTATTTTTTAGTATTAAACATTTAAACTAAAGAAAGATACACCCTCCGTCCCTAAATTAACTTCTATAGTAAATTTGGTATGGGAATTAAGATAGTGGTATTGTGTGGTGGAGGGTTGTGCTGAGGAGAGAGAAATTTGTAAGAATGTTTAAGAATTGCTTTGAACCACAAATTCTTTACCAAAAAGGAAAAGTGAAAGTTTGTTTTGGGACGCCCAAAAAGGAAATTTGGAAGTTTAATCAAAGACGGAGAGAGTATTATAATTTATAGCTCAGTGTGTAACAATGGCTTTAGTGCTTATTTTCATTTATGGAGATGTACAATCCATCTTGTGACCCAACTAGATTTGGGTGTATCACATTTTTGAGTTTTTCTTTTACTTTTAGGGTATTAGCCTTATGAAGTTTGAGACTCTAAGTGTCTGTTTGAAACCCAAAATATGATAAAATGTCAGGGAAATAAAATATACAGGAAAATGTTGGGTAAATTTGGAAACAAAGCAAAATTGGTGGAAAGTAAAACATGGTTGCAAGTCAGTTAATTAGTTTTTGGTATTTGTGTACAGATATTTTATTTGTTAATTTCTGTTGATAAATACAAGCCATAAAAACAAGCAAATTAAAGTCTGTGTGGGGTACTGTGGTTTTTATGTTTATTGCAGTTTGATATTGTCTGAACTATAAAATAATGGTGATTGGTTAGGCTAGGCGGGCTCTGCGGGCATTAAAAGGATTAGTGAGACTTCAAGCACTTGTGAGGGGTCATGCCGTAAGAAAACAAGCTGCTACTACCCTCCGATGTATGCAAGCTCTTGTGAGAGTTCAAGCCCGCGTCAGAGCAAGGCGTGTTCGTATGGCACTGGAGAGTCAGACCTCACATCACAAGCTTCAGCAAAAACTAGAACATGATGCCCGCGTTCGAGAAATAGAAGTAAGTAGCTGCTGTAGTTTTCATTATTTATTACCTCTTGTGCTCCATTCGTTTTTGGGGAAAAAATGTTGTGGAAAATGATTGCCAAAGAAATTCTTTTCCAATAATATGTTTTCCTGAAAAAGGTTTGGCAAGGAAAATCTTTTCTTGAGGAATGCTATATTAGGAAAAAGTTTTCCAAAGACTTTTTCCACCAAAGACTTTTCCTTCATGGTGGCAAACATAGGAGCATGTATTTTGGAAAATGTTTCCATTTGACAAGCACAGTAAAATTCGAAAATATGTTCTTGTAAACAAATGGAGTTTTTCACTATAATATTATTATTACGATCACTACTACTACTACGTATTATTATGATGGGGCAGAAACTTACAAAGTAAACATTGTTTACTTATATTTTTATATTATTATTGTTTTTACATTTTTGAAAGAATTTGAATGTTACCGTATTTTTATATTATTATTATTGTTCCTGTTGTTGTAGGATTTAAGCTCTTGATGTACCCATTCCTGTTCAGAAAATTGTGAAGAATTATATTCTTCGGATGCATATATAAAATGGAGTTGTGATGTGTACATTGTGATGATTAGCACAAACATGTATGATGTATCTAATATCCTCTATTCCTCTGTCATCTTGATACCAAATTTTCAGGGAGGGTGGTGTGACAGCATCGGCTCTGTTGAACAAATTCAAGCCAAACTTTTAAAGAGACAAGAGGCAGCAGCTAAGCGTGAGAGGGCGATGGCTTATGCTTTGGCTAACCAGGTTAACATTTTTAACATCTCAGAAATGTTATGTTATGTTATGTTATGTTATGTTATGTTATGTTATGTTATGTTATGTTATGTTATGTTATGTTATGTTATGTTATGTTATGTTATGTTATGTTATGTTATGTTATGTTATGCTATGCTATGCTATGCTATGCTATGCTATGCTATGCTATGCTATGCTATGCTATGCTATGCTATGCTATGCTATGCTATGCTATGCTATGAACATGAAAAAGCTAGGGAAGGGAAAATGCTACGGAATATAGTTTTTAATGATTGGTTTTACTTGGGAAAAATATAAAGGAAAATCTAATTCCTTTATAATTTTATAAAACTTTTCAATATTTATACTGCGTATTTTATAGTCTTTATATAATATTTATATAACTGACTGAAGTTTGAACAAATACTTTGAAAAATAATTCTCAAATTTTCTTCCTTCCAAATATCTCTCTCTATTTTCTTTGGGAAAATTGCACATCTGGTCCTGTATCTTTCAGAGAGTACCCTAAATTGACATTGGATATTTTTAGAACCAAAATTTCTTAAAATGAGCTAAATAAAGACTTGCAGGACCAAATATGATAATGCTTCTAGCCTTGAGACTATTTTGGGTATTTCCTTGCTGGACCAAATTGAGCTAAATTGACATATGCACTTTTCTTTTCTTTCCCTAGCATTTTCCGGGTTCCACACGGACCCTTAAGGCTTTTTCCTTGGTGAGTTGTCTTATTATCTTCTAAACTAGTTTCTCACAAGGATCTTAGTTATTTCTGTTTTTTGCTATAAAAATAGTTTTTGAGCTTCAAGGGAATCTTTGCTTTGATGCTTTAGTGGCAGGCAGGATCAAAGCAGCATGCTACTTCAGGTGGTTTTGAACCTGATAAGAACAATTGGGGCTGGAACTGGTTGGAGAGGTGGATGGCTGTTCGTCCATGGGAAAATCGCTTCTTAGACATGAATATTGCAGATGGAGTTAAGATTCAAGATGATTATGGATCAGAAGACGTAAAAAATGGAAGCAATAACCAGATGAAATCCTCTGTCAGCAAGAAACCGTTTTCTTCCACCACCCCAATTGAGATAGTGGGTCCTTCCCATTCAAGCTCTAGCACGCAAGAAGCACCTTCTACATCTTGTGGCCCACCAAACTCCAAGTTAAATCCAGAAGGTTTAGCTGAAGAAGTTAGTTCAAGACCTACAATTGGCTCAAGGTCACAAAGCAATCCTAAAGAGAGGATTGCTGCTTCGGACAAACAAGGAAAGAGAAGATTGTCTCTACCCACTAGTGGTCAGTCTCTCTATGTCTGCCTTATGTTCCCAATCATATCTTTCTCTTTAGTTTTTATAATCCCTCCATATCATATTTAACTCTTGTTTTGACTTTGCACAGTTTTTAATAAACTAAAAACTATGTGGTAGAAATTTGTTTAGGAAAAAACATCAACCACGAAAAAGGAAAGAGGCGATAATCTAGGGACAGAGATAACGAAAGGAGAAAGTTTACTTTAGGACAGAGGAAGTATTTACGGCTATAAAGCATGTTGATAAGTGTGTTATACATATAAGATTCATATTCTCTTTTATAAAAGTATAGTCCATCTGATAAAAAAAATCCATGTGAATTTCATAAAGAAATACGGAGTATTCTTTATGTATTGTCAAAATGGGGAACATGTTTAAAAATTATATTCAAAAAATATTCAAGATTATTTTTACTTTTTGTATAGGGGCAAGGTTGCATACACCCAACCCCCCTTACCCCACCGTAGGTGGGAGCCATTGCGCACTGGGGTAATGTTGTTGTATTCTGTTTTCTTTTTAAAAAAACTAAAGGCAGAGAAAATATTGGCTATGTTTGGCTAGTGGCGTATCAGCCAAAATGCCATTAAACTAAAACGTGAAACACTGCAATTTGCAGTGGAATGGAGGTTGAACTGCCAAAATCCAAACAAGCCCATTGTCTAATGGGTTATCTACTTATCTTACTACTGTTATCATACAAGTAAAAATAAAAAATGAGAAACAAAGTGATTACTAAACAACACCTGAAGATCCACATGGACCGAGCTGTATTGTGTGCTTAATCTGGTAAACACCTTTGTGGGTAGATTGCTTTTATTATGTTGCGATTATAAGCAGTTGCCTGCTTGCTTTACTTCATTTGGCCAGGGAAACAGGGCATTATTGGAACTCAAGCAACAAGGCTGCCCGGTCGGCCTGTTGTTAAGAAGACAACTAATGCACTGAAGGTTACAAAAGACAAACCCAAAACTAACGTGAATGAACCGAAGTCTAATTCCCAGTAGTTGTGAATCAGTTTTTAGATCAAGCGTTGGAGTTTGACTTGTCTGCCTCGTGTTTATGTTGTACATATGTTATCGGGAGTAAGAAGCTGTGGTGGTTCTTAGAGCAGTCTCTTTTTGTGTAAATCTATTCAGAAATTATCCATTGTGCATCTTAGATGCAGTTCCTCGTGTTTGTTGTTTGTTTCCTTCCCCGCTGTAGAAAAGTTGAGTGATTTTCCCAGTTCAGGTTTCTTGTGGTTAGAGTGGTGAGAGTTGATCGGTTGAGCCTTGAGATGCTCAGTTCTTGTAATAAATATAATTCTTTATTGGCTTAAATACGTTTTTAGTCCCTGCAAATATGACATACTTTGTTTTAGGTCCCTGCAAAATAAATTTTTTGTTTTTCATCCCTGTAATTTGCACCATTTTGGTTTTAGTCCTTGTCAAATTTCAAAATCACTGTACTTAGGAAAAAAATTGTTGCCAGTTGCACAGATTTACTAGAAACCATACTTGTCACGGCGGTAAGTCGAGTCGCGGCGCTGGCTGAGTGCCAAATTGCCTAGGCGATAAGGCGTCCGCCTATGCGACAATTAGGTGACTAGTCACTTATATATGTATAATATATTATATAATATATATGTATGTATGTATATATCTATATTATGTATTTAATATATAATTATATATATTTATATATTAAGATAAAAAATGTCTATCTCAAATAAGCATGGTAAAGATCAACCTATAATAAAATAGAAGTCTCACAGGCTGCCAGCATGTATATCATTATATATTTATATCATAATATTATACATAATCATGATTATATAAATAGAAGTATATATATACAGATATATTGATATATACTTTGTATATAATAATATAAAAACACCCTTTCAATATATATATATATATATATATATATATATTTATATTAATATATACAGTAGTATATATATAAATACACAACTTAATTAATTAAAATTTTAAAAATCTTAACCGAGGAAGAAGAGATCGGGGACTTGGGGAACTGAGATGTCATCTGCTACTCTGCTTCCACGAGCAAAGGACTGAAGGAGGGCAACACCTGCGAGTTCATCTTCTTCCTGGAGTTGTTCGTCTGGTTCCTGCGACTTTGTGAGGCAGCGACTTGGCTTGGATATACGACTGGGCTACGATTACTCTGGGCTTAGCTTTTAATTAAAAGCCTGAAGCTTTAATTAAATTAGCTTCCTAAAAAATTAAAGCCTAAATCTATTTGGGTTCTGGAATTCTGGGCCTGACTGCGCAACTTTGGTTCGACTAGCAAACAAGGCGAGGACTTCGTCGCCAACATAGCGCCTAGTCGACGCCTGGACGACGCCATTCACGACTCCCCTTCTTCTGGCGAGGCGAGTGAAGGCGGCGAGCAGTCCCTAGCGCCAGGATGCCTAGGCGACGCCGTAACATCTATGCTAGAAACATTTAAATTTGGGCTTTTATAATTTTTTTTGATGTTAATATGAGAGTTAAAATAATGTAAAACTAAGTATTCACATTTTAAAAATATATATTAAAAGCCTTCAAAAAATAAAAATAAAATAGTTTTTTAATAACATGACAAAGAACTGGAGGAAATATATTAGTTAGGGTTATTTTGAAGTCAGACGGAGGTTGTTATCATCAGTGATGGACTAAAAAGAAAACTAGCATAAATTACAGGGACGAAAAACAAAAAAATAATTTTGCAGGGATGTAAAACAAAATGCACTATATTTGCAGGGACTAAAAGCATATTTAAACCTTCTTCATTTAAAAATGTTTAAGAATGTATTGTGTGCTGTAATTTCACCACTCCATTTTCTGCAATAATTTTGATAAGCATGCAACAGGTTAATATATAAGAATGTTATTTCATATGGAACGGTGGAACCAATTGATTTGTTCTACATATGGAGTACTCCGTAGTATAGTTAGTGGTGGACCGGTTCCGGGCGGACCGGCCCGGCACTATTTGGAATCGGCCCGGCCTGGTGGCCCGGCCAGAGACCGGTCCAGGTAGGCCCGGTCCGGGGGTTATACGGGTCGGGCTCAGGTCACCCAAAATAGGAACGGGCCGGGGCCCGGAATGGGCCTTTTTTTCATTTTTTTTTTTGTTTTTCCCGGGTTGGGTTGGGTGTTTTGAAGGGGTTTGGGGGGTTGGCCGGTCGGGGGTTAATTAGAAAAGCAAAAAAAAAATTAAATGAAGAAGCCTGGGGACCGACCCGGACCCGGTGGAAACCCGGGCTGGTTCCGGGCCCGAAGCCAAACCCAAAAAGCCCGTCCAGGCCCGACCCGGGACCGGTCCATGCTCATATGTACTCCATATTTTACCTGCTCATTAAAGTTATTGTAATTTTCTAATACTATCGTAATAAAGTGGGATTTTTCATTTTCCAAATATAGAAAGACGGTGTGAGAAATATAATGGATTATAATAATGTTTTTATTTCGACTGTTTTCAGTCTCAGACCAGACCAAACTTAAACATACCAGATCAGACATAAACAGATCAGATCAAACCAGATTTAAACATATCAAACTAGACTTAGCTTCTATAGTTATAAAATACACAGAGACCAGACGTTTACCAGATTAGGCCAGACTAGACTTTAACCGATCTGATCGGATCAAACCAGACCAGCAAAATTACTGTCCAAGTAAAAACATCCTAAGTGTAACAAATTAATCCAACATTTAAACGACTTTAATGGGTTTCTAAAGACTTAGGATGTTTTTACTTGGATTGTTTTCGGTCCCAAACTAGACTTAAACAGGCCAAACCCGTCCAGATCAAATTTAAACAAACCAGACCAGACTTGACTTTCACAATTATAAAATAACAGAGATCAGACGTTTACCAGACCGGACCACACCACACTTAAGCAGACCAGACCAGCAAATTACAATCCAAGTAAAAACATCCTTAATTTTACGGATCCTAATATAATTATAGAATTTTATTATATAATACTCCGTTAGAACTTACTGGGATTCTATGTTAATGAAGTGTGTAGATTCTTCATTCTAGTGGATTTTGAAGTCATGACTCATGAACATTAACTACACAAGCAACAAAAAGAAAGATTTAAAAATGAAATCATTATGATAAAGTCCATGCATAAGATAAAAGGTAGAACATAAAAAGATTGTTCAAGATATCAAAGACAATGTTGAGCCTACCTTGCTAGCGCCCGTAACACTACCCCTCATTCTACAAGAGTACAATTCGTTAACTTGGCTGCACTCCCTCCCCTTCCCTGCCCTCTATGCTAATCCCTACTCAGCCGCCGCATCACTACCTCGTAAATCCTTGTCGTCCCATCATGTAATACGTAAGATTAGATTAAAACGATTAATGGTACTATTCATATCAATAAAGGACACCTTCTTTTATTAAGAACTCCAGGTGAGCATGTCCGCAGAGAGTAGTCTTGGGATGAGCAACCGTATTAGAAATCTCTCAGAGCGCGTATGAGTGAGGATAAAATGCCAGTAAAGTGGGATGCAGCGGCAGACACAGGCAGGGGCAAATAGGGGTCGCTGCCCCTCCAAAAATATATATTTTCCAGGTATATTTATCCCGAAATTTTAATATATACTCGTATGTATTTATATGTATTTTTTACACTGTCGTCCTGTAAATCGAAAATTCCTGAGTGACAATCGTATGTGGTGGTGGTGTGGGAAAGCGGAGCAGTGGCACCAAAGAGAGCTGAGAGAGACTGATGGCTAACTGTGAGCTGAGGGAGCTGAGGGAGAGTGGGGCTAGGGGTGTATTTGTGTTTTAATTGAAAAATAGTATCTTTTTATTCATATCTACTTTGTCCTATATTTATCCATTCAAAACACTTAAGGGAAAGTTCCCGAAATAGGACTAAAACAGTTTGAAAATTCCAAAATAGGACTGACATGTTTTTTATTCCCAAAATAGGAGTAATTATTGCCAAGATTGGAAAATACGGCCATGTTTGAAGTCTGGTACTGCCAAAACATGGCAGTAATTAGTCCTATTTTGGGAATAAAAACATGTCAGTCCTATTTTGGAATTTTGAAACCTTTTTAGTCCTATTTCGGGTAATATCCCAACACTTAAATACATAGTAATATTTATGTCATTATCCCGTAATACTTTCAGGCTTTCAATGAGTAAAAATATGATCAAGATTGACTTAGGACAACTAAGTGACTAAAAGTGATTCCAATTACCTTCTATATAACCCCTACTTTGGAATACTAATTCCCAACACGTACGCTTACAACTTTTTCAATGAACACCCCTTTGAAATGGTGACAATTACGGAGTATAATTTGGTACTATATAAACTGGTTGTGTGTAATGACATTTTGAGACTAAATATAGTGGTCTTTTCTAATTGTAATTTGAGACAATAGAAATTTGTTGCACCTGAGTGCATTTTGAGGTTGGATATTTTTGTTGCCTCTAATGATGTTTTGGAGCAAGCTATTATGATTGCCTCTAAATGTGTACATTTTTGCATCACGCCTTTGATTGCTTCTAAATGTGATTTTAGAGTCAACCGATCATTTAGAGGCACCTAAATTTCCTCAAAAAATCATTAGACGCAATCATCATTTTTTAGAAGCAATTGTGTCCCGCCTTTGTGAATCTATTTTGTTGTAGTGGCCCTTTCAACCATCTCACTGTGTCAAGGAGAAAACTACAAACTTTTATAAAAGCAAGGATAATGATTCATCCGTTCAACACGAGTCAGACTTCGGCATCGCAAGAGTCATTGATAGGAGAGTTCTTTGCACTCATTATATGCTAATATTAAATCTTCATCTAAAGAGATAAGGGATGCTTGAGTGTTCAAGGAATGGAGAGGTGTTTGTTTCTCGTTTGTGAGGTGGGGGAAATAATGGTTAGGGTGTTGGTGAATTAGGGGAAAGATTAGGGCCTAAAGGGTCTTTATGAGGTATTGACTATTGAGACTTGCTATAGGTGGTGATGATGTTATTGGATGGGACAGTAAAGGCGGGTGAGGTGTCACTAGCACTGACACCATGATCCGGGACGGAGTAGGCACACTAAGCTAGACTAGGTCGATATAAATAATATTTTTGAAAAAAAATTATATAGAATTAATGAATTATTTACGTTAAAAACATAAACATTTTTAATTTTTGGGATGAGTCAGGATCATGATTGGTCCCCCTAGTTAAACCATGATAGGTTGTGGTGCCACTTTGTGTGGTGGTGCAGTTAGAGGTTGATCTAGCGGTAATGACGGGGATGAAACATAAATAAGAATTAAGTTGGTAGTGAGGTTTGTCCTCGACAATTATATTGGGTGATCAGCCAAGCTTTTGTGTGCAATGGCGCCACAACACTGTCATTGCTAGTTGTCACCGTTGAGTGAATTT